TTCCTGCATTCCACACTTAGCCACTATCCATCTTTACCTAAATAACTAATTTACACGGCAGACGCAATTAACAAATTAATGTATTTCACAATATATATGGGTTATTTATCCTGGTTGAAGGGCTCTTATTTAGGCAGTTAATAGTAAATAATACTATTGTAGTGAACGAGAATACAAATGGAAACAATCAAATGTATTTGAATACAAAATTACAGAACATCTTAGTAATATCTGAGAACCATACAGTCAATACTTCATTTGAAACATGTTCATCAATTGTCACAAACTTGACTGTTCCTTCGTTTCCATACCAATCATTCTCCGTTATCATTCTTGTTCTTTTCTCTTTTCCCCACCTTCTGGCGCCAGACATTTCACTTTCAATTGATGCTACATACTATTTATATCCATCGACATCAGTAGCACACCATACACCGTGAATCAAACTTCAATATTGCTCGCCTAGTGATTCGAACCCTTACTTCATAGTCTTCTGTAGTATATTTCCCTTGACAATATCTGCCAAGCTAAGTTTCAATATGATACTCTATCTCAGGTGAAATGGTCTACAAAAATAACAAGATATACATTGAAATGTTATATTAACTCTAATAACTACGTATGAATTGATAAAAATCAAAATGTTACTTCTTATCCGTTATACACCTTTCATCTCTGCGGTTATGCTTGAAATCTCGGTACAAATAATATTACCTACTTGCAAGTATAGGCCCAGCACTAGCATTCTCCATCGAACTTCATCCTAGACAATCCTTTTCAGTTGTTTCCAGTTACTATACATCCTTTTCATTTCTGCTTCTAATTCTCTAGGCAGTATGTTCATTGGCCTTCCTCTTTTACATTTCTCTCCAAAATTCCAAGTAAGAGCTTGCCTCGTAATGCAGTTTGATGATTTCCTCAATATGTATCCTGTTCACTTCCAGTATCTTTTCCTAATTTCCTCTTCAACATATTTTCATAATATTAGTGTTAGTGTATCATTTAATCACTTACAGATTTTCGTGATAATTTGTAATCTGATTGTGTGTTGAACAATATCAGTTACTGTGTTGGTGTGTTCAAATTAAATTAATCAATTAGTTATTTAATCACATAAACATTGATACAAGGAAGCACCGGATAGATATGCACCACACTTCATCATACGATTTGTGTGAGAGCTAGGATACTACCCGGGTGACCAAACAGAAACAGATAGTTTTTTTTAGGAGACCACACCCGGAGACTTCGACATAAAGGTTTGATCCACAAGACAGTGGAGCAACGTAAGGAGATGTAGTCCCATGGTAGCCGATGACCATAAATAGGTTCATACGCCATTTATTTTCTTAGGATCCTGGATCCTATGTGCACCATTGGTTTGGAATGAGGGTTTTCCATTTCCTTTAAGTGTATCCTCCGTATCCATCAACCCAGTTTAAGCCCCTGTCGGACATTAGCTTTTCATCCTCTCAATTTTGTAAACAACACCTGTGGTTTAAGAAGACAGTCAGTAGGACTTCCGTGGTAGAGGTTGTATGTACGTGGTCATGTGAGAGCATTTCGAGAGGGAGAGCTGACTATCTCTACTCTCGGTCGTACCATCGTATTCGTTTGCTTTCGATTGGTTAGTTGTTACATGCTAACAATTGCCTTAAGTCATTCAGTATTCATTTAATAGTTTCCACATAATCAAATTGACTTAATTATTGTTCATAGTGAAACTTTATTGATAAGATTAAATTTTCATTTATTATGACTACTTTGCCAATTGTTATGTCTGGCCGTCGCTAAGTGTTATGTCCGAATCTCTAATTACTTATACCTGGAAAAACTAGAAACTACTGTAATTTCCACGAGGCAAAGCAATAACACCAAAACGGGTACAAGTGAAGATTTATGAACCCCCAAAAGAACACCATGACCACCCTAATCATATATACACTCATTCATCTATTGATTATATAACCATTTTAATGATTAATTAGGATGAAACCACATTAATGAAAAATACCCACAGTCATAACAACTCACATGCTGTATGTCATGCTGGGCACAGTTCATGTTAATTTAATACAAAGAATATCGTATCTTGAACAAACAACACTCAAGTTAGTGAATATTATACCAAATGAAGTATCACACTGGAAAACAGTGACAAGTAATACACTGAATAATCACCATATAGAATTAAGAAAATGGAAGCAATGTTAAAGGAAAATCACAATGAGTCAGAGTCTGGTTATACCCTTTCTATCCCATTATATCATCATTAATCACTAAGCCATCTGTAATTGGTTACTATTGTTCTCATGCTCAGATAAAGAAGAAGAGTTGAGCATAGGAGAGTAACCTCAACCAGTAAAAAAGTACCTTACCAAAAAGCGCTAGCCAGAATGAAATTGGTCATTATGAAATGATTACTCCATGCAAACCGTCTCATGTGAAAGTCATAGTAATAGTACTGATGATTACGATTATTATTATTAACCATATAGATAGCCTGGTCTGCGCCAACACCTGAACTAAGGATAGGGAGTGAAGTAGTCGAACGCGTCGACAACTTCACTTATCTTGGAAGTCTGATCAGCCCCAATGCGTTGGTATCGGACGAAATCTCAGCACGGATTCGGAAATCTCGTTTGACTTTTGCCAACTTACGTCACCTATGGCGAAGGCGAGATATCCGTCTATCAATAAAAGGACGAGTATACTGCGCGGCAGTCCGTTCTGTTTTAATTTACGGCAACGAAACATAGCCATTAAGAGTAGAAGATACTCGTAAGCTACTAGTATTTGACCACAGATGCCTCAGAAATATTGCTGGCGTCTGCTGGGATCACCGGGTAAGTAATAGTGAGGTTAAACGCAGGGTATTAGGGAATGATGATGGTAAGTCAGTTGATGAGGTTGTAAATCTTCGTCAACTGAGATGGTTGGGCCACGTGTTACGTATGCCTGAACACCGATTACCACAACGTGCAATGCTAACCGGTGTTCGGGATGGTTGGAAGAAAGTTAGGGGTGGCCAAACCAACACGTGGCATCAGTGCTTGAAGTCACCAAGTTCTTGTCTGACCATGTTGGATAATGCAGACTAATTGATTGGAGTCCGCGTGACTATCGTAACCAATTGTTGGAGACTCTTGGTTACATGGCTCAGAATCGACCACAAAGGCTTCGGTGTATACACTCCCTGTCTTCCCTTAAACTAAGAGATTAAAATCGCTTCATATCTTTCTTCCTACGAACTAATTCTTTCTTCCTGTACTGTATCCTTATATGCAATCTTTCTTTTATATATTACCACCTTTGGCCTAACCACTCCTATGAATCTAGTGTTCATCTTGCTGTGCTAATGAGGTATGGCAACCTGAACTGATGAATATATGTGCCTGGTCCTACGTTGTAGTTGACTGACTGACTGACTGAAAGATGGAGTGGAATCCAGGACGCATGTTTCATTCTATTTTGAACTCGTCAGCTCGATGTATCTGCATCTCACAGTTGATGTTCATTATACAACTCGAACCCAATACTGTTAACTTCAAACGCCATCGCATTATTCACTTAGCTACTAAGTCCTGATAACCACTTGCTTGTACAATCGGATGAAGTTTACATTCATTTTGTATCGTTTGATTGAATCTTCCCATTGATATTTAGTACTGCAATTGATCAATCTGTTATCGACATATATGCGTACTGTGCATATTGCTTTGATATTGCCTTAGTTCACAAGTACAGTGGCTAGTATTGAAATTCAGGACACGCATTTCGTCCTACATAAGACTCATCAGTTGGATAAATAACTTAAATATAGTTAAAAATCTAATATATAACTGTCTTTATCGAATAATATCAG